TTTTCTCTCATGCTTTTGTAGTCACCTGACTAGTGAAGTCTCTTGAGGTCTCACATCTGCTGAGGAAACGCACTGGGAAGACAAAGCCCTATGGGCAATTCCTACACGTCTTTGTTAGAGATTATGGTGCCACCACTCCACTAGTGTATGCCTCCCCTCTCAGTCACTGGCAGGTTGTTGTGTTTCTCTGTGCTGCAGACCTCTGAAACAGAGGAGAGGCTGTGAGCTCTTTTCCATTAGTCTCCTTCCCTTAGCATGCATCCACTGTCGAGCACAAGTGAGAGTCTTGCTTCCCACAGGTTCAGATGAAGCATTTGAGGATGCTATTAAATTTCTGTGCTAACATGTGTTTTGCCTCTACTGTTGACATTCATGTGTCCTTTCCTGACCATGACCCTGCTATGGATGGGTTTCCCTGTGGATTTGATAACTGAGTTCCCGGTTGGTTGTCCGTTACCCTTTCCAGCAATAGTTCTGGCACCATTTCCATTAGCAAGACCCGAGTCTGATGGGCCTACTTGTCTGAAGTTCAACAAAGTCAAATGCAGGGTCCTGTACCTGGGGAAAAACAACCCCATGCACCAGCACAGGCTGAGGGCTGACCTGACACAAAACAGCTCTGTGGAGAAGGAGCTCAGTGTCCTGGTGGACAAAAAGCTGTCCATGAGCCAGCACTGTGCCCTTGTGGCCAAGAAGGACAATGATATCCTGGGGTGTATTAGGAAGAGCACTGCCAGCAGATCGAGAGAGGTGATCCTGCCCCTTTACTCAGCCCTGGTGAGGCCACATCTGGAGTGCTGTGTCCAGTTCTGGACTCCTCAGTACAAAAGAGACATGGAGCTCCTGAAGTGGAGGAGCCCTCCAGCAAAAGGCTACAAAGATGAGCATCTCTACTCCTCTGCTGGAGCATGTCAACATCTCTCTTATGGAAAAGGCTGAGAGAGTTGCCTGTTCAACCCCAAGAGGAGACAACTGAGTGGGGCCCTCATCACTCTTTCTAAGTATATGAAGGCAGAGTGTCAAGAGGATGGAGCCAGGCTCTTTTTGGTGGTGCTAAGCAATAGACAAGAGGTATTAGGCAGAAACTGATGTACAGGAAGTTTCACCTGAATATGAGCAAGAACTTTATTGTGTGGATGACCGAGCACTGGAACAGATTGCCCAGAGAGGTTGTAGAGTCTCTGTCACTGGAGATATTCAAGAACCTTCCGAACACAGTCTTGTGAAATGTGCTCTGGGATGACTGTGGTACCTTTCAAACTTATCCATTCTGTGATTCTGTGATTCTGAGCCCCAGTTACACATGGGTGGCACACAATTCATTGAGGGTACCAGGGCTGACAAGCAAAACCAGCCAGACAGTCCCAAACTGGAAGCATTTGTGGGAGTGAGGGAAGTTACTGATTAGGGGTGAAAGCAGCCAGCTGGCCTGTCTGCTGCCTCACCAGAAAAAAGAGGTATACATTACTTATAGCTAGCCTTCAGGGAATGGACACTGTATATTACCTTTATTGGTTTTTCTCTATCCAGCAAAAATCTGGTTTAGTAGGCAGCTGTTTGCAAGTGGGGAAAATTACCTCAACTGAGCACCAGAAAGTTTAGTTTGATTTTCTGAAATTTCTCTTTAGGAAGTCCAGCTGGTGTTTTATTAATGACCCCTTGACTTTTGAAACCAGCCCTTGCTTGCAATCAAGTCCTAGCCATAGGGTTTACTTATAGGGAAAAGGCGCACAAAGTCCCATTTCTATGAAAGCCACAGAAACTAGTGACTTTATGGGTCACAAATGTGCAATCCTACAACTCTGTTCAGGAGGTTTCTGTTCAGGAACTGATGCCTCTGCTGCCTGAATTCAGGGGTTGTCATGCCCATCTCTGCATCCCTGAAGAAAGCATCAAGTGCCTGAAACCTCGGAAACCTGTTTCTTGGCCTGTAGCTGTGGAAGTCCTTTCTTCCTCAGCCAGTACCCTTAGTCTAAGGCACCCTGGTTCTTGGTAATACATGGAAATGGAAATGTCGGGTGACATAGACCTGTGGAAAACTCTGTGGAAAGAAAAGATCTGATAAATGCCTCAAATCAGCATTGCTGATTGAGTTGATTTTCCATGACTCCCTGGTGAGCTAGAGAGGGAACTGATGCAACTGAAAGACATTCATGAGATGAATACCAACCCTATGGAAACAGTGACGCAAGGGTGGGAACAAGGAGTGTCTGAGGGCAAGTTTGCTCCTATCACTGAGACTGACACTTTTTGGCAAGTCTAAGGATTCAATAAGCAATGTAAGATGAAGGCCAGAGGTGCAGTCCATATGACCTTGCTGCTGTGTGGCATAAACATGCTAATATTCTGCTCTACTATCCTCATCCCCTGTCACATTCTTCAGGTTCTGTCCCCTCTATGTCCTTCTGTAATACAGGTTTTGTGTTATAATGTGGTTGTTTTCTAGCCCAGAACTATTCTTCATGACCCAGTCAGAAAAATCAGTCTCCTTCAGGATTGAGGTGCCTCTGACCAAGTAGGTGATGGCAATGGAAATTCCCCTTCCTCTATAGATTGTCTCCCACATTTCAACAGTTTCCCATCACTGCCTCTGCCATCCCTGGTCACAAGAGCCATTTGACTATGTTTTGGGTGCTGCTCCGGCTTTGACTACACTTTCATTTTCAGGAGTTATTCAGGCTCTTCTCCTCTGTGGCATTGCATGGCGGCACCTCCACCTCTCTTCAGACATCCCAGGGAAAGCATTCAAGGATGATGCCTGGGAGGGTGGGAGAGATCAAGAAACTGGTGAAAGGCAAAGCAGGGGGAGGCTGGAGGGAGCAGCAACGTGTTCTCCTTTCAAGTCCTGTCAGCACTCTTGCTGGAAGCATCACCTTTGTCACCATCTGGCAGGTCAATTCCTACCAGAGTTAACAGAGATTTCAGTCTCTCAGGGTGGACGCAGGCTTTCTCTGCCAGACACTTACTGTCATAAAGCAAGGCAAGTGGCAGATGTAAAGTTTGCATAGAGAGTCCCATAAAAAGCGTGACTTGGTGCTTTGATAATATCACCACTTAAATCATGAAATTACGACCACTAATCTGCTCATTATCATGCTGAGTTAGTATTAACATCATTAGCATCAATTTTTATTTGGGGAAAAAAAGGCACTAGTATTTTTTGTGATGTTATGGTGCAGCCTATTGACAATGTGTGCATTTTTACAAGAATTAAGCAACTTTTGATTTTACCACATAGATAAACAAGATTAGTTGGGCTGTATCCTGGTCAGGAGGTACTGTTTGTAAATATATGTTTCAATTTCTGAAAGTCTTTTCAAATTCAGATACAAAATATTTTCAATTTACATGTATTTTTTTAAGGAAGGACTTGCTTTATTTTTCAGCATATAGTCATTTTTTTTGTTAACAACTTTATTATGATAGAAGGGTTATAATATAGTGTTACAAAGCTATGCAGTGCTTACAGAACACATGTAAGGCATTTTCTTTAACCAACCATGTTGCTATAGGAAGAAACAAAAATGTTGTGCCATGTTCCATACTCTCCTGCCTCAAGGAGAAAATGATGTGTTCGTGTAGCTTTAAAATATATCTGATACGAGCAGTTTATTGCTTTTTTAATGGCACACCATTAACTAGTAGTGAACTACACATTGAACCTGTCTCCTTCCATGTTGTGAAAGTCTCTTGTAGTTCCCGGACTACCGTTGAATCTGGTTGGTAGTTGACTTCCTCTTTACCATGATCCTTTGGGAGCAAATACCTTCTCAGACAGATTTTTCCCAGATCCACACACACTGCAATTTCTTTCTCAGCAGGTATTTTGATCCAGGCTGTTTGCTAGGGGGAGCCGTGAGAGAAGCCCAACATCTCAGTTGTGGTATGAACTTCAGTGATTTCCAACTTTTGGTGTTGTATAGCATGACTCATATTCTGACCTGAAAATACCTTTTTATGATCAAACATCCCAAGAGATATAAAGGAGAAGGAAGACAGGGAAGAAAGATTATAGAAGAGATGGGATCCTATAAAGGAACCATCTGGGTGAGACCAAAACCAACAAGCATAGCTGCGATATCGCACGGGTACAGCAAGATCAATCAATTGTTGTTTGATTGCTGTCTCATGTGCAAGAGATGTTGAAGGTGAAGCAGAAAGAAATGGAAAGATTCACAAGTATGAAAAGGTGGACTTCAACAGCATCATGAGGAGGGACTGTCACTGGAAATTTATCAGCTGATAACCTCTAATTTGACAAATGATTAAGTTATTATCCCACTGACTCTAGATGAAAAAATGTGGACTTATGCAGATGGCAAGAAAAAGGAAGATATATTAGCAATTGATGCCTTGGATTATACAAGTCAGAGATCTATATTCTTTTTGGGGGGATAAGTGGAAAGCAGCTGAGTTATGAAAGCCTGAATGTCTTTCAGAGAATTATTTTGCTGAATTTTTCGTCTTTTCTAGTGGAATTCAATTCTGTCTTCAAAGACAGCAACTGACTATGCCTCACTGAGATATAATAAGCTTTTTAGCTACACTAGGTCTATTAGTTTTTTCCATCCCTCCAATCCAAGCAATAACATTTTCATTCCTTCTCCCAGTAGAGTACAAAATTTATAGAGTTGATTTCAAGCTAAAGATACTGTGAGTAATTAGTTATAAACTTCAGAATTGCACAAAATCAACATAAGATTTTTTAAAAAGCATTGTTACCTTGGATACCTAAAATATTTGACATTTTAAGACAAGACAACTGTGTCTGAATGATCTAAATAAAATGATCCTCACTGTAAAATGTTTTTTTAAATTGAATAATTCTGTAAAGAATAATACATAATAATAAGCCTTTTGTTTGAACTTGCATTGTTCATTTCAGTAGCAATGTGTAATTTTTGTTAGACAACAAATCTCTTCTTCTACAGAGATAGCATCTCCAAAAGGTGATTTTGAAAAAAGTATTTTAAGAAATAACTATTTACTACTGATTTGGTTTTAAATAGTTTGTTTAATTGTTCAATTCACTTAGAAAGTTACGTTTGTCTTTACAGTGAAGGAACAGACCTAATAAGGGGGAACTATAGTTTCCTGATATTTTACGAGAGCTTGTGGGGAATAAATAAGAAATGAGTGATAAAATTATATAGGTCTTTAAGTTTCAAAAATCTGTACCTTAGTCCGTAAAAACCTGCTTTTCTATTTGTATTTCTACACTGCAAATTCTCAGATCTTCTCCTAGTGCCTTTGACTTCACAAACCTTAATGTAGAAATAAAAAAAAAAAGACAGAAGAGCCCATGATCTTTCTTCACTCTTCTCCAGATCCATTCACGACTCACTGTGTAGCACCATGAGGAAATCCCTGAGGTTGCCTTCCAGTGCCAGCTGAGGCACTGGAAGCAGTTTGGCACATTACGTCAGGGAGCCAGTGCACAGAGCCCTCTGTGACTGTGTTTCACTGTTTCCAGGGCCCACTCTGACTTACTGAGTAGAGGGTTTGTCATGCCTGTCCATCACCATCCTTTCCCAGGTCCAGGTCCAAACATGCTGCAGGAGGCTGACACTAGCAGCAACGCAACCTGCTTCTGAGCATCCCCACCTTTTGCTTGAATAAACGGCTTCCACTCAGCACAAATGACAGCAGGTCCAGACAGCTCAGGGCAGTCAGGCTCAAAAAAACCTCATTGTAGCTTTCTAATTGGCCAAAATCCCTAATGTGTTGCACGTAGTAGGCCCTAAAAAGGTGATAGGGAAGGAAGCAAATTATGATGACCCAGATGAAAATCAAGTTTTTCACCTGGGCCCAGAACTCTTGGTGTGACCAGAAAGAGGTGGAAAGTTTTCTTGCCACTTTTACCAGGATAAAAATCTGCAGGCCCAAGAGAACACAAGAAATGCAGGCAACAGCTACAATTAGGATGTAGTTTAGGGCTTTCACGCTCTCCCGTTGTAGTTCTTTGTGGAACTTGAAGCATGTTGTATCATTGTATGAGCCTGAACGTCCATACTGGAAGTGAAAAACAGGCACCACAAAGACGATGACAAAGACCCACACGGCAGCACTTGCCGCAACTGCATGCAGCTTCCTGTAAAACTCTACTTTGTCCTTCCATTGAAAGAAGATGAGCCACCGGATCACCAGCGTGATCACATAAAATAGGAAGGTCAGGTACATGTGGATGTGCACCATTGCACTCACCATTTTGCAAAATGGCATCTTGAATAGCCACTTCTTGTTGACATAATAGTGGATGCGGAAGGGCATCGTGAAGAGGAGGAGACTGTGCACAACGACCAGGTTAATGATGGCAGTTGTGGTCACAGACAGAGTGTTCATATTGACCAGCACAAATGACATTGTGATGGACCCAATTCCACCTCCAGCAAAGGCAACTGAGTAGACAGTAATCAGTATGGTACTCATGGTGCTGGTGTGAATGAAGGCTGAGGAGGAGTCGCTGCTGTTCCCAGTCTCTTCAGTCATGTTCCTGAAATCTTCCTTGTACATATTCTAGAATTGAAAGAATACAGAAAGACTAAGATAAAGTAGGAATGAGAGGGTCTATCTAAAAAGCTAGTAGCACTTTCCACCTGGTTCTTGCCCAAGGAATAATCCTGAAATCTCACAGATGACACCAGCACTGTAACAGTACAGTAGCTGTAACCAGTAGTTTTATCCAAACATCCTTCAGCCTAGAGGAAAACAGAAGAGAAGGTTGGGCAGAGAAGCTTCTCAGTCCTCAAGACATTGCTAGCCATACCCTTAAAAACAACCATGAGACAATCATATGTGGGAAGAAAAGATCCTTATAGAAATTACATGATTGTGATAGGTTTGTGCTGTTGTTAGTTCTCCTCTATTCTGAGCACCTGCATGCTTTTACAGTGAAGATTAGAGATCTTGTTTGAATTCTGCTACTCATTCATCAATTTGTTTATTTGCAACACAAATCTGTCCTTCACAGAGCCAGATAACAACCATATGTTGCTCAATCAAAGCTACAAATTTTGTTTGTTACCAAGAGCTAAGTTTTGCACACACTCCTTCTTCTCTGTGGACAGTTTATCTGAGCAAGGAATTAAACACCATGGATACCCAGACTACATGAAGATCCTGGTCAGATCCTACCAGACCAAGTAGCACGGGCAGTGCTGTCCTGGTGCTCAGGGCCATTCCACATCTTACATCTGTTATGAAATGGGCTGCTGGAAAACATTGGGAAAGGACACCCTGGGTAAGTGTAAATCAGCCTGCTTGGCCTGAGCAGAAGCTAGAATCAAGCAAGTTTAATAAGTATGCTACATGTTTTTAATATATTACTCTTTCAAAGAGAGATTACATCATTCTTATAATTCTAAAAGCAGCTTCTCGTAGGATTTTTAAGTACTACAAGATCATATGGGAGGGTGAAAAGTTCAGGTAGGGTGTTATCCTGAAGCATATTTGCGTGTATGTAAATGCCCAGAGGATGTCCACACTACAGTCACAGAAAAGAAGCAGGGAAAACTGAACAGTGCTGGGCTCTGTACTATTCCAGTTATAGTGCTACTGATACCTGAACTATAATTTAGAACTGACTCTGGTATGTCATCCATTTCACCAGTGAATCCCACAACACAAGAGGGGGTTTCCTCCCAACTGAGTTTTTGTGATTTTTTTGTTGAATACTTCAATGTTTTAACTTCAGAAAGTAGTTCCTCAATCTCTTTTTAAGAGTGGTGTTTCAGCTTACTTTCTTTTTTTTTTTTTAGGTAGCACATACTGTCAAATTTGGGAGAGGACAAAAGTTTTTAGCAGTCCTCTGTTTTTATGGAAAAGATAAGATGCCTATACAGTTTTATAAACGTGTTTTTCTCATAGTGGGGAATGAATATCTGTCATGCACCTCAGATTTTTTTGTTGTTTCTTGGCAATATTCCTAAGCACTCACCCTTACAGTAATCAAGATCTGTTCAGACTTTAAAAAGTTGGTTATTCTCTAGCTATCCCAATGCATCTAAGACTCCAGATACTTTATTATAACCAATATAAATATAACAGCCCTATCTCAAATTGATATGCTGCTTGTTGGCATTACTGACATTTTCTGTTTGATCCTGATTTCAGAGTTACGTGGACAACTAATTCCAGTGCATTAGGAGAAGTATAATGGTTTGCAAGGAAAGAACTTTTTCTCAAAGTCAAGGTAGATTGGCACACTGCAGGTCTTGCATCAGAAATGGTGCAAGTTCCTTCCAGTTCTGTTCTCATTTCTGAGATATTGCGTTTCAGCCTCACAATCATGCAAATCAGAAGGGATTAGCAATAGCTCTTCATCTGTTTCTCCAAGTTGTTAGGCTTTAATTTGAAAAGATGTCTCTAAAAAGTGACATTATCACACTGTTATGAGTTAAAATGCATATTTAAAGTTAACAAGTTTTTAAAGTGCCACAACCCTAAAGGCAATATGCTGGAAATGTGGGTTGGCGTGAGCAGCCCCAGAAGCAGGTTGCACTTGGAGAGGAAGAGCCCCTAATGGTCACTCTTCGGAGCCTGACGGTGAAACCTGAACTGAAGGCAGTAAGAAAAGATAAGCAGAAGTCAGATAACTGGTATCTTCATCAGACGTTCTGATTAAGGGAACAGTAAGAGACCTATTTCTCTCTGCAAATAAGCAATTGAAACACTGAAATGAAGGTTTCTGCAGAATTTTGTGGTCATCATTAAATCCCCACACTATAACATTGTGCAGGAAATTTAATTTTCATTAATCTTCAAAAAAAAGGCTACTGGCAGCTATGATAGAAGATTATCAGCTCCCCAAGACTGCAGGCATCCCACTGAAATATCATTGCGTGATGAATACAGAGTATAGCATGACACAGGGTATGTTTCACAGAGGAAATGCTGCTTTCTGGTGAAATGAGGTTTCTTATTGTAATGACATTCACAAAGCTATAATCTACTGACCTGAAATACAACTAACAAGTCCTTTTGCCAGAATTTAGCAAGAGGCACATGGAATGAGAATTAATGTGGGTCTTATAAGACTGATTGATCATATGACATAAGGCTATATACTGAACCTCATTACAAACATGAGCTATAGAAGTCTCCAAAAGCTGCAAAATATCTCCAGCAGAGGAGGAACAACAGAAGAGACCAATGAGAGTGTCATCAAGTTAAGAATTGGTCTCTCTCCATGTTGCTTAGCCCTTTGTCAGTGTCAGATGGTGTAAGTTCTTGCTGGCTGTAACAGTACTTCAGTACTTGCCTCAGTACTGAATCTAGCTTGATTAAAACTACTTTTTAAAGTAATCTGATCATTATCTTACATTTTATAGAGGGGTTGTACCCTGGTCAAAGAGTTACAGTTCAGCCTCATTCCTTCTTGCCTTCTCCCCACACACCACTGCCCCAAACAATGTCTGAAGCACCAAGGAGCTCCTTCAGGAGGGTACTTTGCAGCTTTGTCTCAGCCAGGCTGATTCCCCTCATGCACGCTAATTTTAGCTATTGACATCTGTAAGAACAGAAGGAACACAGAAAGGGCTTGCACATCCAAAGGCAAAGAGTTTCTCCTCAAGGAGCTGTTCTTGTTTCTGTGCCTACCTACCCCCTCTAGCAACTGCCAGTTCAGTGATATCGCTCAGGTCTTGGAGCAAGGTTTGGTTTTCCTCTGTGTTAAGTCTCATCACTTGGCTAAAATTCTGCTGGACTTGTGCCTTGAACAACCATGTGGCAATGGTGGGCACCACTTCAATTTGAGTGCCGTAGCAGTCGCTGGTGCCAAAGGCTTGAGGACAATTGCAAAAATAGCTCTCTTTTAGTCTGACAAAGGAGGTAGGTTACCAAGAGGCCAGAGACTGGGTTCTTTCAGAAATATGATCAGAATAAAGATTCTTGTGCATTCAAGATTTGGCAGTTGTTGGTATGGATAAGGTCACCACACTCATTTCTTGTAACTGTCTGTGCAGCACAGTCTGCAAGACTAACCTGGACTGCTTTCTTCAGCCCAGAACAAGTCATAATGCTCAGTCCCTGTCAGTGTTTAAGGCCAGGTTGCATGGGACTTTGAACAACCTGGTCTAGTGAAAGGTGTCCCTTCCCATAGCAGAGCAGTTGGAACTAAATGATCTTTAAGGTCTCTTTCATCCCAAACCATTGTGTGATTCTATGATTTATGAAAACAATTTGATCTCTGTCAAAATCTTCCAAGTAAGAAATATTCATTCCAACGTTCAGGAACTTGTTTCTCTTATCTTACTGTTATTTATACTACTATTAAAAAAAAAAAAAAAGAAAGAAAGAAAGAGAAAAAAAGATTAACCATGTTTCTGACAGAATTTGTACAACTTCAGCTTCCAGGCATTTTGTGTGTTTCTGGTTCTTTCTTCAGATTTAAAAACCTTTTGTCAAATTTTTACTTCCCCTATAGATACCTGGAGATAAATAGAGATAAGGAACAGAAGATATTTATCATCTCTTGATTTCTGTCATACCTGTGGCTCATCACTGCACTGCCATTATGTTCTTATTTGGTTCTTAGATGAACGACTTAGCAATGGTAAAATGCATGTTGCTAGCTTGCATCTGACTTAGCAATCCAGATCAGCCTGTCACTGGTTTGCTCCATTCATTGCATGTCATTTTCCCAACCTGATCCATGAGTCACCATTACATTACATCAACATTATATCAACTTAATGAAAAAAAAAAACATTTGTCAGAAAAGATGACACTTACAATCTCTGCCAAAGCTCTAATCTGTATAACAAGTGTTTGCAAAATTTATCCCCCCATACACGTCTGCTGAGAGACTGGCAGGCTTCACACAGATTTTCATGTGTTCTGACAATTGGGTTCTACAGAAGAAGCGTTTGAAGCCTGCATGCACCCAACTGAGAAGTTTCATTTGAATTTGGAGGGGAAAAAAGTTCAATTCAAATGAAAGATTTCTATTTTTGACAGACTTAATAAATTTGAAACATGAATGTTTCTCAGAACTGACATTTCTGCACTGAACTAGACTAGGCTGAAGAAAGTGCATAATACAAATATTTTTTTAACAAAAGTCTATTTAAAATCTGCATTTGTTTCACAGATATCCTTATTTAGTCTCAGAGATGCTTTCTGTTGAGGGCATTATAAGTGCATTTCAATTTGCTCTAATTCCATGCTATGTTATGGTAATGCAGGCTATGCCACTAGAATAATTGCAGAATTCCTTCCATTTCAAAATAATGACACACACCTGAAGTTTGAAGTATTGAATCTGCTTATTGGAAAACACTAAAAATACAAAAAATATGAAATATCAAGTGCATGTTTACATTTAGACATTGACTTTTTGCAAACAACTTCTAGTGATTCCTCTAACTCATTCTGTCCCTCATTGGCTGATATCTTGCAGGCTGTGTTATTATTATACTGATACTTTGTAGTTTAAATTCAGTCTATTGAAGAGCAAAGGGGATGGAAAAACATGTTGAATTAGTCACCCCTCATTGGAGATTTTCACTATTTTTAAACAAAAAAATAGAAACCATGAAGTCTTCCTAAAAATCATCATTTACCTTCCCAACTGTATCTTAATAGAGAGGACAAACCCTTCTAGTCTTTACAGAGACTGGGTGATATCAAACACACACAAAAAGATGGGTGAAAACAAAATGCATTGCATGAAGAAAACAAAATTTTAGAAGGCAGTGTAGAACTCCAGGGTAGCAATATGAAAAAAAAATGAAGCAATGTTTTTCTGTACTAGGAAATTACAAAACACAAAGAGAAAACAGTTGTGCAGAAAAGCTTTAAAATGTGTTCAAAATAAAGCAAATAGACAATTGAATATTTTTTTTCCCTTAAGTCACAAACATTCTTTTAAAAGCTTTGCAAAACAAGGCTTTTGTTCACTCTGTGTATACTTACAGATAAGAGTTTCTCTCCACTCTTCAAGTGTTGTTTACTTAGATCTTCATTTTATGTAAGCTCTAAGAACAAAAAGCAAAAGAACTGATATTTGAAAGAGTCATTGCCTTACTTCCTTCTTTGAGCCTGTGACAAAACATTAACCTTGAGGCTCAACAGTGTGAGGGCAGGGCTGCCCATGAGTATGCAACCTTGAGAAGATTTTTAGTTGCATCACAGGACCCCTTAACTTGCAGCTACTTCTTAGCCATAAGAGGTCTTCAAAGCCTCCCATTTCTGAACAGTCACATTCTACTTCCAACTAAAATGATAAAGCATTGTGAGCCCCACAAGTTACAAAGATACTTGTTTGGAAAAACTATTCCCCAGAGTTGAGGGTACGATTTGAAAGACTGTTTTGAGAAAATGGTAGGACAAGAGCAAAATATGATCTAGATTGTAACTAAGTGTGGGTTTGGATGTGGTTAGAGACACCAAAGTGTAAGGGATGAAATAAAGCTCATCCTGCAGCCCGGCATCATGTCTCAGCTCTGCTTCCTGCCAAGATTTTATCTCAGTATCTGGATCTCGGTGCCTGGTGCCATCATTATACCTGTACAGTGCTAAGCAAAGGAAACTATCCACTTTACTAAAAAAAGATTAACCGTGCCAGTATCAAAGGCTCATCAGTGGTGATGGCTGTTGTGTATGGTGTGTGTGGTAAAAGATGTCTTTCTGCAGGACTGAGTCTCTGTGAGAAGCCTGTGCAAGGTGAGTTTTGCCCTCCTGAAGGCTTAATGCATTTCTGTCAGAACACACCACTATATTTGAGTATAATTGTTTTGAAAGCAATGGTGTTGACAGACAACCTTTACATATATTCTTACACAAGAACATTTTAACTGACTACATCCTGTTGCTTCACATCTGGTTAAAATCACAAGGGAAGTACTGTTCTGTGGTACTTCACAACAGACTGGTGTGTGATGGAGATTGTCTTTTTGCATTTTGCAATTTTAACAGTGGTTGACAGTTAAAGAACTGTTCAGATAATATTAAAAAGTGATCATAATAATAATGCTTAGCTCTTACCTAGTACCCTTCTGCGGCTAATCTCAAAGTTCTGCTAAAAGGCATTACATACTACTCTCCCTGTGCTAAAGCAAAAAAGCTGAAAACTCTGTGGCAAAGGCAGATCTATAGCTGAGATATCCTTAAATGAAGACCTATGCCTTCTCAAGTTAGTCGTGTTGTCTTGGCTTCTTCTAGATCTTGTTCTAGAATGAATATATCCCAACTATTAGTGGAAAGAAAGCTAAGGTATCTTAAAGACCTTGAAGTAGTATCTGTGTGGGATTTTAAGTTATGGAATATTTTTGATACATATAAGAAGTTATTATATAGGTAAATGTAAATTAAAACATAAATTAATATGTCTAATATTGATATTTATTGTTTATATAATAAAATATAATAATTACTTAACATAGAAGTTATATAATTTTGTTAATAAATGACAATGTTGTTTTCCCAAGCAGTCATCATAAATGGAGTTTTCCAGATAGACTTCTTTCTATGTGTTTGCAATTGGCAAATCTTCAACCCTTTAATCCGTGATTAAACCAGAGTATGGTCTGGGACAGGCACCCTCATTATCTTTGTTGGTCTTTATTTTTGTAGTTAGTGTCAAGTTCTAGATAGGTTTAGAATGCTTAATGTACATGATTGCAATTCATTTTCCCTGCTAAATTGATGGAATTTTGCAACAGCATGTATAATGGATTCTAGACTGGTATGTTTAGATTTTCAACAGCAATATACTGAGCTGGTGGCAGAATGTGATCATTGTAGAGCATCACCAGTTGCATTTAAACACTGATGCTAGAAATGCATGTGTTTTGTAAGTTTTGAGTCATTGCTGATGGTTTTAGCAATACCCTAAAAATCTAGAAGTGTGATAGTGTGTTTGCACAGTACCATTGTATCATCTGGATTAGACCATCACCTAGTTTGAGTTTGCATTATAACAACAGTTTCATGGGCCAAGGTTTTCTAACAATAGATGAGAGTCTGGGCCAGATTTCAAGGACTACTTGTCCTGGGATCTGATTATTAGCATCAAGATACCTTTACTCTGGGTTATGTGAAAAGTCCTTGAGAAAAGAGAACTGTCTCCTTTATGCTCTGGCATAACACATGATGTTGTGATTTTTCAGCTATTCTAAACTTAGAGTTGTACACAGAATAACCATGGCAACACAGGTGTTTTGATTTTCTACATTTATTGTGCTAGGACTCAAGGATTTGGAGTGCTAATTCAGAAGTGGACTGTACAAGGTGGTAGGATGTACGCAGGTGTGGTGGTTGACTCCCCTGGAAAACTACTCCTCTCCTTCACTTATGTAGGTGACAGACAGCAAAAAAATAATATCCACCTGAATACCTTAAATTCACTGAGCGTAACCTGACTCTTAGTTAGCTGTGGATAAAGCTTGAGTGTTGGTCCTGAAAACACTGAACTGATGTGGAAAACTGAGAATCAGGGAGAGCATCTTCCACTATATTTTGTGCTCCTTACAAAAAGCCCAAATCTGTTCAGAGGCCCTCCTAATACCAGCTATGGGCCTGGTCCTAGTATGTAAGAGTGGCTAATCAGTTATTAAGTTGCAATTGTGACAGCTTATTTGCAATTTATTATTAAGTAATAAATCAGCTGGTAATATGAAGAACTGAAAGACAGTCTGTAATTAGAGTAACTTTTAGCCTTTATCAACAAAATCATATTTTTTACTCATATTCCTAGCATGCTTTACTATTTCAAGCACCTGAATAGAAATACATTAATTGTCTACAAAAGGAAAAACATTCAGTATCAATACCAACCAAAAACATTTTGCAGATAATAGGTTTTTTTAAATGTCTCTATCCGGGTTCTGAAGCAGTTGTGATTTGTGGCTGTCACCCAGGCAGTGCAAGGTGTCCTATGAATGAAAAATACTGCCTGTGACACATCTGAAAGGACGTTTTGGAAAAGTACAGCAAGGAAAATGTGACTTGCAATTCCTTGTTTCACACACCTTTGCACAGCAGAGTTATAAATTCACGCTTCTCTGAAAAGTGAAAATACATCTGGTGGCCTCCTCCTAGTTTCTTTTTCTAATTTAGGGGGAAAAACTCTTACTTTGTAAGTTACTGTCCCTGGGTATTATTACTCAAAATAAATTTGCTTAAAAGTAACTGAGGCGAAGTGTTGTGGAGAAAGTCTCTTTCCCCTTCAGCCTATTTCACCACCTTTTCCTCCTGTGGAAATGTCAGAATTGCACCTCATTCCATGTTGAAGTATAGCATATCAATAAAACCACCTCAAATTTCTGTTAAGGTCCTACCAGAATCCAGGTCTTTCAACAGAAAACTACTGAAAACAAACCAAAACCTAAATCCACATCAAAATCCTGTGTATTTCTTCTTTGGTCATGTGTGTGGGAGGGATCTCAGACCTAGAAAGCAGCTGTTTTAACATTAATAGCACTAGTAATTTGCCCAGCTGTCCCCATATCTCCTTTTCTTTTCTACGGGACTCTGCTTTAGCTTCAATGTTTGTCATTGTGGACAGGAGGAGGAATCAGAACTCAATGCAAAAGGTATCTGTTCAGACTAAATGGACCTTTTTGAGTGGCTGTCTTACTTATATTAACAACTGCACATTTCTAGCAGTATATCACCAACTTGAGTGTTACCTTGTTCTACAGGATTTTACTAGTTTATACCTGTTGCAAGCCAGCAGGTTTTTCAGGGGATATGCCTTTCATTAGGAATACAGCACAGCAATTCCCTCATTATGGAAGCTTTTTCTCACCAGGGTGAAAAAAATGTAAGGGGAGCTGATTGACAAGGAGATGCATTACTCCTGCCACAAGGATGACATTAGACTGCAGAGAATGAAATTATATATGCGGCACCATGCTGATTCTATATGCATATATGCCTTTCCAAAAAGAAAAAATCCTTTCCTTCACCTTGAAAAGACAGTGCTCATCCTAAAATTTGTTTGAACTCCATACTAGCCTCTCACTAATTGCCTGCTGAGGTAAGCAGAGTGTTGTAAGAAAGAATGTATTTTTTAAAAAAGATTACAGCACAAGTCTATTGCTACTCACTTTCAAAATATTTACTGCAATTCCTAATAATATTTTATTTTCAGATTGTTTATTTCATTTGCTTTCTGACGGAGGAGGTAATGCAAACTCTGTCATCAGATGCATGGAAAAAAATCATTTTACTAATGATCACCTTCATGCTGAATATACTCATACAGATATTTATGAAATTTAATATGCTAAATAGTGTTGTCTGTGTTAGCAGAGGAACAAACCTCCCTGCATTAATCTAAGAGTGTCTGCCTCAGAGCAGCACAGAAAGGAAAGCTTGATGCCACTACTGATCAATTGATAATGAAGATGCTTTCCTACCTTAGCATAAACACAATAAAAAATACATGACTTTGCTACTACAGGTGGGTTAGAGAGGAATTCAGGGTTCCTCCTATCTCTCTCAGAAATGAATTTACTGAAAGGGAATTGTTCCACACTGCATTCATAAAGTACACTGGTTTGCAAGAGCCTTTCCTGATGAGCACAGCTAAAGACTGCATAATAGAGTGAGGTTCTGTATGCACACAAGTACTCTGTTACATCAAATTGTTTAGGCTGAAATGGTTCGTTTTGTTATTACATCTGGAGGTTTCTATTCTGAGCAAAAGGTAACCTTTTATGTTAATGTCTTCAGTGCATTTGCCAAAGTGTGAAACCAATTGTGTTTGCAATAAGCTCATTACTAATGCATTTTTAAAGACTTTTGCCTATATGAAGTTCAGCTGAAATATTTAAGGATGCAGCTACACACTCCAGCCAGGAGCAATTGTAGAAATACCTATGGTAAATGCTATGTTCTGGGCTGTGGGAAGAATACCCACACCTACCCTTTGTTACACCATCCTCCTGATGTGTTTTCTCTTAGCTTTTCTCTCCATTTTTTGACACAGGAGTCCACAGAAAATCTTGGGACATGCTGCTTTTGGAT